TATACGTCCGGTAAAACACAAAAAACTTCACCAGCAATCGTAAAACCTGCTTCACGAAGGTTAGTTCTAAGTCAGTGAAATTAAACGACGAAATACATTTCACCTAAGGAACGAGATGAGGAACCGAACAGACATCGTCAACAAAATTTACCAACCCACAACCTTCCAATACACTGCAGTGTCAATCAAAACCTGTTTCGGGTGTCAGTTTCTCGGAGAAACCAAGTCCAATTGAATTGTCATGGGATCAACACAAAACCCAAATAAATGAAATTGAAAAGTCTATTGCCAATGGCAGCAGCTCATCAGTTGATACCAGATATGGTCGCAAGGTTCGACTACTTGATAGACTTTCATAGTAAAGGATTTTTAATGTGGGGGATGTGGAGTAATCCAAGGTTACCTCGCTTGTCTAGAAACGGTATCGGCCTTCGCTATAAAAATGTGGAGGGAAGATGTTAAATTCTAAGCGTTAACGTGTTTGGACATCAAAACAAACAGTTAAAGATTTTATCTTCTGTTCTTTTTCCCTCTCGTATGTTAATGCACTTAAATTACGCCACAACTACTATAGTTATACGCGATTAAAATTAAATAAATAACCCATTTAAAGTTAAATTTAAATAGACTTAAAAAGCCCTTCTTTATAAAAGGTTTGACTTGAATTACGCTTTTCACCGCAGTTGCAATTGATATCGTCTAATTAAACAGCAATTAAAATTAAGCAGGGCACGGTACGTTGCTCATACGTCGTTTCTTTCTCTAGAACGCGTACTCTGACGTATTCAAAATATTACATAGTTCGGCTTCCCTAATGTTTTTAAGAGTGACTTTATGTGAAGAGATCATAAAGAATGGCGATTTTAAAAGAAAATAAAAATTGCGCACAAAATAGATGTAAACAAACTACTGAGATCGGTTGCGTATACGAAGAAAGATTATGCCGAATTAAGGTGTCGAATAAAGAAAAAATAATTTTATTATTTCTAAATTCTTATAACTTTTACGTACATAGGACGCTGAGAATAAATGGCCGAAGGCTCAAAAGTCCTCTGCAGTCTGTCCCAAGGTCGGCTTCTCGGCTAGTATATGAATAAAGACGAAATGAAGAATTATCGATTCTTCGTCTGACGAACTTAATGAAGGCAAATCTGAGGATTTTATTTTGCAACAAATATTTATAAACAAAAGTGTAAATGTTTTTTTTTTTTTATTTTTTATATTTAATTTCCGAAAACTGTCAGCACATTATGACAGTGTTCATAATTGATATTATTGAGAATTGAATTCTACTTTTTATTTTTAAAGTTTCAATTATTGTTAACCGTTTTTTTTTTGCACGTAGATGAATATATTATCGTTGTATTTTCCACAAGTATGCTGCGGATATATGTTGGTAGACAGATCTATCAATCTTATATATATATATATATATATATATATATATATATATATATATATATATAATTTTCATTTGCCTTAATACGTATTTATACATATGTATACACATAACTATATATATATATATATATATATGAAGAGAGAGAGAGAGAGAGAGAGTGCACAGAGTGGTGGTGGTAATAAATAAAACAGTGCTCGATGTACAATACCAAAAGGTAAAATTCATAATTCTAATAAATATAATATTTGTTATTCACTTTTTGGTAAATATATATTTATTATTATTATTATTATTATTATTATTAGTTATATATATATATATATATATATATATATATATATATATATATATATATATATATATATATACTGCGTGCCAAATTATTATCGAGACAATTTTTTCTAAAATTTCAAAAACCGTCCAATCAATTCACACAAAATTTTCACACAATGTTGGCAACACTAAAATTTTTCGTACTGATCTGCGCAATGTAAACAAATTGGCGCCGTATTTGTTATCAGCACAGTGATTTGAGCGTGCCAAATTATTAGAAATCTTTAGTAAAATTCCCAAATTTGAGCAAACAAAACGTTTATTAATGTTGAACGTGAATGTTTATGATCAAAAGAAGCTAATAAATAAGATAATCAAACAAATAATAACAGATACAAACAAAGGCACAGTTTTAAACAAATTAATAGGGAATGTGCTTTCCATGTTTTGAAATTACTTGAAGAAGTCGACGATCCATACAATTTTTTAATTGTAGGATGTCATCTGCTGTAATGCCGCGAGATATGTCAAGAATTGCTTCCCACAACTCAGCGTTGCTCCTGAATTGTCGTCCGTTGACGTACAGTCTTCGCTTCATGATGCTCCAAAGGTTTTCATTTGGATTTAAATCCGGAGAATTTGCTAGCCACTTCATTTTATGAGGTCCATCGAAGCCTAACTGTTTCAAATATTCAGTAGTCTTGTGAGCAGCATGTGAGGGAGCATTATCTTGCATAAAAACAATGGCCCTTCTGAAGGCAACTCTTTGCCTTTTCATCCACGGTTCAAGATGCTCCTTCATAAAAGCTATGTATGCATCAGCAGTCATTTTGACGCCATCTGGTACTCCTCATGGGCCCACTAATGTTTTTTCAATAATACTACCCCAGATCATTATGCTTCCACCGCTTTGTTGGCGTCTCAAACGATGATGGCGATTCTGTCCGTTCATTACCCAGGCTTTGCACTACCTATCTGGCCCATCAAGTGTTGCTCAAGTTTCGTCTGTGAACAAAACTTTAGAGAAGTCAATCTTCATATTGTCCTCGGCCCATTTCAATACAGGTTTGACTGTTGTTGCTATTTCCCTCAGATACCGACACCGAGTACTTTATACACAGTAGGATCCCCAATACGACTGAAAAGCCCTTGACTGGTAAGTCCAGGGTTCTCCGTGGCCTCTCATTTAAATCATGACATGAGACGACGTGAAATAACCCTCGGCTTGCCTTTATCTGCCCTTTTGCACACTTGTGTAGGGTCGGCGGTGAACTTTTTCGCTGTTTGATGACACCTCCCTATCATTTTATTAATTTCTAGGGTAGATTTACCTTTTGAGAGTTCTGAAGTGATTGTTTTCTTTTCAGCATGACTTAAACTGCTTTTACGGCCCATCTTTTCACTAAATTCTTACACTTTTTTAATAATTTGGCACGCTCAAATCACCGTGCTGATAACAAATATGGCGCCAGTCTGTTTACATTGCGCAGATCAGTACGAAAATTTCAGTGTTTGCGCTGATCAGTGTTGCCAACATTGTGTATAATTTTTTTGTGAATTGATTGGACGGTTTTTGAAATATTAGAAAAAAGTTATCTCGATAATAATTTGGCACGCAGTGTATATATAATTTTAGTTAAAAACAACCGACAAGGCACTGCAATTTTTATTCTTCTTGTATCCGTAGAAGTGATTTATTTTCGGGACATAGAGTGTGTAAAAACTGTCCAAATGACATATGAATCCAAGTGCTTTCGGCTAATCTATTACTCATTATCAAAGATGATGTTTTATTTAACGAATATGTAGGATTTATTCTCTAATAACGCTGGAAACGTTAATAATAAAAAGCAAGAAGCCAACTCTCAATAATATAAATTATGAACACAGCCACAACGTACTGACTGTGTTTGAAAATTAAAAAAATCATTTCCATCCGTATACATGCACAAAACGTCTACATATTCAGTTAAAAAAAAAAAATTAACCACTCCTTAATAATGGCTAATATATAATCCGAAAGCGCTCGTGTCCAAAGAGCATTTGGACAGTTTTTACACTTTATGTATAAAAAAGAAATCATATGTACGAATGCAAGTAAAATTTAATAAAAAATCTTAATCGTAGTGCCTTGTTAATTGTTTCCAATGAAACTTGTATTATATACATATCTACACAGGTATTCATAAATATATTAACATTTATTATATTTATAAGGAAGAGTGTTCAATATCTGAGATAGAGCATATGTAGATATAGACAGTAAGGACATAGTGTGACCACATCTTCTTTATCTATAGGTATTTATATAAACATACAAAACATATTTAATAAGAAATGAATTAAAGGAATTGCCTCCCAAATACCGAATTATATATAATATATATATATATATATATATATATATATATATATATATATATATATATATATATATATATATATATGTGTGTGTGTGACGTCGTCCCCCGGTCGCAGCGCCAACTGTGACGTTCTATCCTGATCTACCACGGCACCAGTTGTGACGTCCTCAAACAACACCACTTGTGACGTCTTCGCCGAGGCGCCAGCTGTTCACTCCTCGCTGCTCCGTCCGGGTGTCGCTGCTCCAAACGTGACGTCCGCCTGTCGCGTCAGTCGTGTTGTCTCTTCCTGTGACGACCAACTGGCTTGGTATCGGTCGCGGCACCCAAATGTGACGTTCTAACCTTTTGGTGATTCGGGTGGGAATCTGGTTAGATTTGATATCAGCCTCGTCGCTCCCAACTCGCTTCCAACGCCTGGCTACCAAGGTAACTGCATTGATCTCCAGTCTGCCTACCCACGTTGTGAATTGATCACGAGATCAAAGAGTGGTTGGGGCCGTAATGCAAATTGAGTTCAACGGGGGTGATAACACACAAATATGCATAAAATAAAATAAAATGAAAACTCAAAAAGTTCAAAGTATAAAAGAAAAAGGTAACAAACTTTATGTCTAGTTGTTCGATACATAGGATTGCATCTATCTCCCGACCCGTTCTGTGGATTATGACACGTCGTTTTCGCTAGGCAAGTTTTAACGCTTCAAGTTGTTTGCTCTCTAAGAAATTGGTGTTTCGGTGTGTCTTTGGACGAAAGTCGAAAAAAACTTATTTCGGTGGTCTGGTCCTAAGTCGCTCTTCAAAATAATTGTTCTTGGTTGAAGAGGAGTCCAGAATTTTGCGTGAATCTTGGTCAGCTATCTCGAGGCGGCTTCAACTTTGGAAACTGGAGCTCGAACTCTCTGGACACTCATCTCTGCCGCCAGGGCCCGAACTTTCTGGACACTCATCTCTGCCGCCAGGGCCCGAACTTTCTGGACGCTCATCTCTGCCGTCAGGGCCCGAACTGTCTGGACACTCATCTCTGCCGCCAGGGCCCGAACTTTCTGGACACTCATCTCTGCCGCCAGGGCCCGAACTTTCTGGTCACTCATCTCTGCCGCCAGGGCCCGAACTTTCTGGTCACTCATCTCTGCCGCCAGGGCCCGAACTGATTTCTGCCTGTTGGGGCTTGGTTTTTATTGACGCCGATCAAAACCGGGGTAGGTCTGTTGGCGTCCGGGGGTTCCTCGATAATTCTAAATACATATCCACCTCTTTTATTTCTGGTTAGGGATTTTCCACTCTTTTCCATTTTTGGTAACTTTTTCTCACTCCCACTTTCTCACCATACTTGAGGGGCGGAACTGCCCTCCCCACTTCTTCGTAGCAGCTTCTCATACTTATACTCTGGATGGGGCGTCGACAGCCTTCTTCGTGCGTCACGTGATCAGTCTCGGCCAATGAGGTCTTGGTCGGGTATCTTTCCTCCTCCTTCGTGCGTCACGTGATCACCACTTGACCAATGATGTCTTAGTCGGGCGTGAACAATCCGCGGCTTTGTTTCGGAAAAAAAATACCTTGCTTAACTAAAAAAAATTATCTTTTTGCTTTTCCTTTTCTTCCTTAATCGCCGTATCATTTCTCTGGCCACCAACGGGAAAATATGAACAATGGGGTCATAATTCTTGTGCTACACGTGGCTTACGTCAGGTATTTTATCGCTAATTTATCAAGATGGTTGGTATTCTTAACATGGCCTCAAAAAAGAATTATCCCCAAGTTTTCAGTCAGTCTGACGTCTCCAAGGAAGAAAGAAAAACACCCCTGGGTCCCCACCCATTTTCCTTCGGCACATATTCCTGATAACATAAATTTATTACCGCAGGCAAAAGTTGTTTTGTCGATAAGAATTTAGTTAGCGAGACTGCTTGAGTGGGATTTTAATTTTCCATATCTAACTAAGGCTCTGTAGCTACACCTGTGTTTTGTCAATTATCAAAATTAACGTTTTCAAGTGGAGTTTCTTTGGCGAACATTTCTTGATAACACAATTCCATTCGCGCAGGCCAAGTAGGAAAATCGGTCAACGATTACTCGTAGGTGGCCTTTAATTTTCATATCTGTCCAAAGTCTTTTTTAGTCGTCTGTTTCTTTTCGTCACTTATCGAAATAACATTTTCACTTGAATTTTTCCCTTGGCCGGTGGTCTGTGTTGATAATAAGATGCCTTCCCGTACCAATAGTTTGTTTTCATATCCTTAGATAACACTTCCCTACTCACTCAAATCTCATTGTCATTGTAATGACACTCTTTCGCCATTTGCCACTTATCAAAATAACCTTTTTTTTTTTATTGCCTCTTAGCCGTGTGTGTGTTCGCTTATCACCTATGATTCGGATCTCGCCTCACTTTTCCCTTCCTTTCTTCTTTTTTTCTTTCTTTTCCCTTTCTGCCTTTCTTTCTCTGCCTGGATGCATGGTGGTGCATATATATATATATATATATATATATATATATATATATATACTACATTGTGTATATTTAGGCAGCAATTTTCATTGATGCATGTTTCATTAAATAATGCCTATAATTGATAACACAAGCTATTGGTATATGCCAACGGCTTCCCATACTTAATATTTCTTGTTTTCACTCTCGCGTGGTTATATGTGACGTCACGAGCTGCGACGCGATTTTCGCATCCGCGTCTCGTATACATGAGTTAGTCGTTGCTTTGAAATTTTTCATGCAACAAAAACAGACTATCATTATTGTTTCGTCCGTGTATTGGTTGATATATTGATATGTAAATGTCATCTTTGATAATGGCTTATGTAAGCCGAAAGCTTAGACAGGATTAAAACATGTATCAATATGGTGATTTCCTTTCATCTTTCAATGATAGTGTTATTAAGCTTATCAGACAATATGAAAGGAATTTATTTAAAATAAATAAACAAAACTTGTCTATATTATTTAATGAAACATGCATCAATATATATATATATATATATATATATATATATATATATATATATATAAAATTGTGAAATTGTGTATGTTATACCGATTTTATTGAAAATGGCTGGCAATGCACTGAGATTAAACTTTTATGTCTCTCTTTCTTTGTGTGTATTTAGGCAGCATGAATTCTTTCCGCCATGTTCTGTTGAATAATACCAAGGACTTCTGTCCATCCCATGTTTTATTAACTTTATCAAATTCCTGAATTTGTAATTTTATAAAATCGGTATATTTAATAAACTTAATTTTGTTTTCCATTCGAAAATACTTGGAAAAAAATAAAAATGAACTTTGGTAAATTTACGGATTTTATAACAGAAGAATTCGGAAAATGGAAAAAGTCCATAAAAAACTGAATAACAGAACTCGTCAGTATTATCGACAAAACATGTCTGAAAATTATATATATATATATATATATGTATTAATAAGTTAAGACAATCCTTAAAAATCTATTTCGGTTATAATGTATTTCATGAATATATTCATGAAATAAATGGATTTTTAAGGATTGTTTTACTTATTATTATTATATTGCTGTCTTACTTCAATTGAGCTCGCTTTGGATTAATGTCCTCCTTGAATTATCCTTCCAATTATTATCAATTGGTATTTTATATATATATATATATATATATATATATATATATATATATATATATAATTCAATTATAGGTGCAATTTTAATTTATAAATTCATGAATCACTCATACAAAAAAAAAACAAATATAGAGGTTAATGATTTAAATGGCGAGAATACATCTTTGCAAACAATATCAATAAAATACACCAACCCTGAACCTGTATATGAATGATATGATCCCTGTTTATAAATTCCAGTTGCATAAGGTCTTTTAAATTTTACAAGCTTTCGTCTGTTCCTACAGACATCCTCAGGTATGGAAATAGATTTATTCTTGTTTTTACTTCTCGGTAATAAGAGGACAACGAAAATAGAGATGTAATCCGAAAAAATGGTATGAGAAATGTGTTATTGTTTTGGAACGAGCGTTCGCAACGCTGAGTTTGAAATTTAAATTTTAAGGTTGTGTGTTTTTGTACAAATATAGTAATAAGAGAATTCTTTTTTACTGGTAGGTTTTCCGTCAATGTGGCATGAACTATATTGTTCAATAATTACGGTAATGTCACATTTATCCGAAAATTGCACGTTGGATCAGTTATTTTAATTTCAATTATAGGTGCAATTTTAATTTATAAATTCATGAATCATTCATACAAAAAAATAAATATATATATAAAAACCGACCTAGATTGAGATCTACTAAAGAAATTTACTGCTTAAAAAAAAAAAACCCAGAAATATCAACTCAAACACGCTTAGCCAATAAAAATAACGTTTATACTAACAAGAAATATTGGCGGATTAAAAATACATATAACAACAATAAAATAGGTTTTATATATATTTAATGATTATTTTTTATATTATTTGTTATATATTATTTATTTTTTATTATTTATTGATCACATTCTATTATTTTATCATATTATTATTTGTGACGACGTCCCCCCGGTCGCAGCGCCGACTGTGACGTTCTATCCTGATCTAACACGGCACCAGTTGTGACGTTCCCAAACAGCACCAATTGTGACGTCCTCGCCGCTGTGCCAGTTGTTCGCTCCTCTCTGCTCCGTTCGGGTGTCGCTGCACCAAACGTGACGTCCGCCTGTCGCGTCAGTCGTGTTGTCTCGTCCTGTGACGACCAACTGGCTTGGTATCGGTCGCGGCACCTAAATGTGACGTTCTAACCTTTTGGTGATTCGGGTGGGAATCTGGTTAGATTTGATATCAGCCTCGTCGTTCCCAACTCGCTTCAACGCCTGGTTACCAAGGTAACTGCATTGATCTCCAGTCCGCCTACCCACGTTGTGAATTGATCTTAGGCAGACGAGATCAAACAGTGGTTAAATGTAATGCAAACTGAGTTCAACGGGGGTGATACTACACAAATATGCATAAAAAGAAAATAAAATGAAAACTCAAAAGTTCAAAGTATCAAAGAAAAAAGGTAGCAAACTTTATGTTTAGTTGTTCGATACATAGGATTGCATCTATCTCCCGACCTGTTCTGTGGATTGTGACACGTCGTTTCCGCTAGGCAAGTTTTAACGCTTCAAGTTGTTTGCTCTCTAAGAAATTGGTGTTTCGGTGTGTCTTTGGACGAAAGTCCAAAAACTTATTTCGGTGGTCTGGTTCTAAGTCGCTCTTCAAAATAATTGTTTTTGGGTTGAAGAGGAGTCTTAAATTTGCGTGAATCTTGGTCAGCTATCTCGAGGCGGCTTCAACTCTGGAAACTCAACTCTCTGCTGGAGCCCGAACTGATTTCTGCCTGTTGGGGCCTCGCTTTTATTGACGCCGAGCAAAACCGGGATGGGTCTGTTGGCGTCGGGGGTTCCTCGATAATTCTAAATACATATCCACCTCTTTTTATTTCTGGTTAGGGATTTTCCACTTTTTTCCATTTTTGGGAACCTTTCCTCACTCCCACTTTCTCACCATACCTCTGAGGGGCGTGAACTGCCCTCCCACTTCTTTGTAGCAGCTTCTCATACTTATACTCTGGATGGGGCGTCGACAGCCTTCTTCGTGCGTCACGTGATCACCACTCGGCCAATGAGGTCTTGGTCGGGTATCTTTCCTCCTCCTTCGTGCGTCATGTGACCACCACTTGACCAATGATGTCTTAGTCGGGCGTGAACAATCCGTGGCTTTGTTTCGGGAAAAAAAATATCTTGCTCAACTAAAAAAAAATTATCTCTTCTCTTTCCCTTATCTCTTGTTCTACACGTGGTGTTTGTCAGGTATTTTATCGCTAATTTATCAAGATGGGTGGTCTTCTTAACATTGCTTCAAAAAAGAAATATCCCCAAAGTTTTCAGTCAGTCTGTCGCCTCCAAGGAAGAAAGAAAAACACTTCTGGGTCCCCATTAATTTTCCTTCGGTACATATTCCTGATAACATAATTTTATTATCGCAGGCCAAATTTGTTTCGTCGAAAAAAATTCGGTCAGCGGCACTGTTTGTGTGGCATTTAATTTTCATATCTGTCCAAAGTCCTTTTTTAGTGGCCTGTTTCTCGTCACTTATCGAAATAGCATTTTCACTTGAATTTTTCCTGGCCA